AAATGGATGCATACTCTATGCATGAGCAAATAGGTTCCTGAGCCCTGAGCATCTATGGCACTTTGTCAAATCTGCTTCCAGGGCAGCAAAAGAATGAGCCTTGTGGCATTTACACCAGCGACAAAACTAGACAAGCCTGGTTTTCCATAACTGTGGAATGCCAAAGAAAATGTTATGGGGACAAACAGTGGGGATTATGTCAAGACTTACAGCAATGTGAATAAATCTGAAAAATAAAATTCAATGAATCTTGTAAAACACAGGATGAACCCTCTATCTTACTTTTGGGCACAACAAACCTAAATGTGCACGAACCTGATGTGTTGCTCAGTGGAAGAGCACATGTACAGTCCTCACGGGTCTCCAGGGTCTATCGTCAGCAAAAATGATGCATGTAAACTATGGTATATAATCCAGTAGTGTTGAGCAGGCCACAGTGTGGAAAGAAGACACACAACAGGGTTGTTAAGCAGAGCACCAATGATATTTGGGTGCAATGTTTCATTCTTTTGAGGGCTGTCCTGTGTGTTATGTGACATTGATCAACATCCTTGGCCTCTACCCATGCTATAAATTTGGCTCGTGTGCTACACCATGGTAACAAAAAAGGTGAGACACATTCATATGTTTTCTGGTGTGTACAATCACCAATGTACAAAAATCACTGACTTAGTGGGTGTAGCAGACACATAAGCTACTGACTAAGGTACCTGGGATGGGCAAATAAACACCAAAAAAGCTGCCAAAATTCCCTGCAAGCCAAGCCCAAGCAGAATCAATGACACTAGTCAAAATACTCTGTTTTGTGTATTTTTTCCTTGTCCCCACTACTTGCAGTACTTTTCATATGTCACTAGTGTGAAAAGGCAGAGGATGCTCTAATGCTTGATGGTCTATGATGATACTCACTGGGAGATGTAGAGGACAGACTAAAAGATGCCTTGAACTCAAGCTCTGTGCTTTAACTCAACTTTGCCTTTGTCTGTAGGCCATTTCCACAGGTTTCTCCAGGATGCTAACAAAAGTTCTGTCCTCAGAGTTTGTGGAACCCAGGAGACACTTAGGAAAATTTCTGGGATCCCACTCTCTTGTCACTTATGGAACATATCACAAAGGCTTATGGTCATCTCCTCCCCCAGAGAGGTATAAATCATTACAAAGGGGAAAGAGTTTTAAGACAGACCTGCCTCCAGCCCATTAAGGTCATTGAAGAGAAGTGGAATTATAGCAGTGAACAACACAGTACAGAAAGGCAAAAGCTGACCCAAGGTTAAACAGCTAGAAGGGTTTACAGAATGAGCATAAAGCAGAACTAGGAATGCAAGTGTTTTTTCTTTAGCTTTGCACATGCTTGGTGTCTTGTGGTCAAACTCTTCAGCCCTGTGTCTTAATTGAAACATTTTATTCTATCCTCTCATCATAGTGATGTAAGCCAGAGAATATGACCAGAACATAGGACCTTTTTACAATACCAAAACAAACATAAAAGGTCTCTCAAAGAGTTGACAGACTGAGTTTACAGATGCCACTTGAATTTTAAAGGGAAAATATCATGATCTACCCAAAGAAAGTTGCAAATAAAATGTACTGAAACTGCACAGAACATAACTGATCAATCAAACATCATTGTCAAGCCTTGATCTTTTAAACCTCCTCAACACAATTGCCTTGATCTGTGTTTAGGGAAATATATGTAACACAACACAAAATTATTACTAAAATATTAAATATCTCATAAACTTTACAAAAACAGTGCACTGCAAACCACTGGCTCTTCATGCTTGGTGTCCAGTTGCTGACAGAGCAATGACTCGTTACTACTGTCTACCATGATGAGCAAGTATTTTACCATGTACCACCAGTGAGAAAAGTAAATAATTTACAAAACTGAAATGTTCCCACCAAATAATTTTTTTTTCTGTAGTACTAAAGTTTTAACTTGGCCTCATGCATCTTAGATGAATTAGACTGGAAGTACATCGCAAAATATTTACTTCAGATTGCAATATGATCTGTTTCAATTGTCCAGGCTGGGGTTAGTGTTGCAATGCTCCTGTCTCAGTCTCCCAAGTGGCTGGGATTAAATTTTGCATGATCATGCTTCATTGACATTTACTTTACCCAACCACTGAATGCTTGGTAAATCATGGTGATTAGAGGTCTCCAATTTTCTGTTGGCAAATTGATATACGCTTGACATCTCAACAGTCATGCAGTTGGAAACAGCATCAAAAGTTCTCCCAAGACTGTGCAACTTAGTAAGAAAAGGTCTAAGGGGTGGTTTAAAAAATGAGTGTGTGGGTGTGTGCCTTGGAGCAAAATTTCTGAGTTTAGTCCCTGTACAAAAAAAATCAAATACATCTTGAAATCTTTTTATCCAAGAGATAACCTTTCCCAATCTACTTTGATAATGATGTCCAACTTATTTTTACATCTATAAGATCAGTTTCCTAATTTTCAATTTTGCCCCACAAATGATTAGGTGAACTGATCAATAGTAACAGAAGACACATTTATGTTACTATGTTCCTCTCCTTTCTTTTGACTTTGATCTCTGAGCCACTCTCAGGGCAAGCTAGATACAATCCATCAATTTTTGTCACACTAAGAACAACCTAACTTTAGAGGAAGTAGTTCACTGTTGTAGTTGTTGACTTCACCTCTCACCCACAAATGTTGCTCTCCCACTTCCTTTGTACTCCCCTTTATTGCTCCCCATTCGAAAACAACTTTTATTCCTATTTATATGTATGACTGTAGACCCTATGAAGTTTTACCTAGACTTGTGCTTATGATATATAAAGTCCATCTCAATCAACATTTGAATTTTTAAACAATGTCTACAAACAGTCCAAGTGATATGGCAATGACATAGGACCTCCAAATAAGCCAAATATTATAAGGGAAATATTGGAAGTCCCAACCTGCTAGATGTCTGATACACTGACTTAATGTTCCCTAAAATTGTAAAAGAGTGAATTCTAAGGAACAATGGAAGTAAAGAGCAGGAAATATTTACTGGGGGAAAAGAAAGCTTCTGTCTAAAAGAGACAGAAGTGGGGGCTGGAAAGTGGGTTACCTATGAGCCCACTTTTCAGGGGAAGCTTTATGGAGCAAAATCATGGGTTGGGTATAAGGTGGGGCAAAACTTAGTCAACCAATAAGATTACAAGTATAGTTGCTTAGGTAGTATTGATCCAATGGAGAAGCAAATAACTTTGCAAGTGTACAAGGATGAACAAGGACTTTTCCTGGAAGGGGTAGCCAGGGAAGTTTTGGACTCTCACCCTAGGTGATTGATACCTATTTAGAGTATCAGTAATTGTTGCTCATCCCTTGTGAAAGTATGTAGGTGTAGGCATTCTATCTTTTGTCTGGAAATCTGACCTTCTGGCAATGTACCTCCAACCACAGTTGTATTCTCATCTTCTACATGGCTCCTTCAAGGTCCTAGTCCTATCTGACTACCTATAACATTTGTAACATAGCTATCTATAATAGAGTGACTATAGCAATTATTTTAGAGATGAAATCCCTTTCTCTTCCCATGCTATCTCATGTACATGTAGATACCCCAGTTCAATGTGTTCCTTGGTATGGGTTTAACCAGCAACCTTTTTATTAAATTTCCCTCAGCAAGAACCATTTTTGCTTCCTTGGTAATACATTAACATCCCATCCATTTTCCTTAGCATTCTAAACTCTCTGGAAGACCTCATTTAAATAGTCTAATTATAATAGTTGACTTAGCTACCTTATGAATAAGCCACCTAGCTAGAGAAAATGGCCTGAAATAGAATTGGCTAATAAGTGACACTGACAAAAATTAAAATAAGAACAGATAGTGAACTACACATAGTGCACCCAGAATAAATTTTCTCAGGAAAGACGAAGTGCAGCCCTGCTCTATTTCACGGAGCTGTAGACACTCCTTACTAAGTTCCCAAGTTTCTAGAAACTAAAAGTAAAAAATAAATAGTTTTTCTCTAAAATCCCACTAACTACTTTTTCTCTAGAACTCCTTAAACTTCACATAGTAAGAAAATGGGTTTAAGAGCCTGAGTTCCAAATTGTCATTTTAAATACACAGAGTTATTTGTGATAGGTGGCCATTAAATAATGGAGCAATTTCTGTGATCTGGTTATCTATAATTAGGTCTGGATTGAGCAGCCACTTGACTACTCACTCAGGATGCTTCAAAGGAATCAGGGAGCTATATTATTTCCAACATAAAACTGTCCTAACATCCTCATCTTGCTTCATGACCTAACTCCAAAATATTGTGAGATCACAATCTCTGTTCTTTATCATTGTGAGTAGAAGTGTGACATAAATAATTAAGGTGAGAATTTTTTTGTGTTGCTGGGGAAGGAATGCAGGAGTTCACTGCATGCTTAGCAAAAGCACTCCACCCCTTAGTCACATCACCTGCAAGATTAAACTTTTCTTCGAATTCTCTTGGCTCTGCTCAACACCTATTATGAGTTTGGCAATGTGGCAAAATATTGGAAAATTAGGAATTCATTGTGAATATAAAAAGGCAGAGGTCTGAGATGAGCTGTGGGAGGAAGATTCTGTATTGCAGACATTTATAAATAACAGATCCTCTGTCTGTTACTAAGAGGAGTGAGACCAGGGACCTGGCACACCACAGCACACCTAGTTTCAACCCACATCTGAATCGGTCTCCCCAGGGCTCCTAGCTCTCCCTAGACTGGTGCAGATGAAGCTGTGCCTGGGGCCATTCAGGACAACGTTGTGGACTGACAGTGTCACAGTGGGGACAGGATACAGGAAAGCCTGATTCACAAAGGGTAAAAAGGGACAAAAGCAACAAAGATCAGGACCATAGTGTCTGGAGCTAAGCAGGGAGACCCCTACCCGATACCTGCTTCTGATCACTGCCTTGCAGATCTCACCCCATACCTGGTTCTGGTCACTTCCTTTCAGACCTCATCCCGATTCCATCCCATCCCCAGGTTCAGTCCCACAACATCACCATTGCGTGATTCAGGGTCTCCTAGAGTCCTTCCCAAGCAGCCTGCAGCCATTAAAATCACAGAAGTATATCTTCAGGTACGGTTCTCAGCAATTTGCTGCGGACATGCACTTCAGCGCCATGACACCGGAAGAATCCTCCTATCTTGGCTAACCTGATTGGACAGTTCACGCAGTCCGCCTCTTTATTGCTGATTGACGCATGCTCCATTAGCCAAGAGTGACTGGAGAAACAAACTCCTGCCTGCTAAGGTGGAGTCCAAATGACAGATTTTAAACAAAGAGACTTATAGATCAGGTCCTCCTCCATAATGATGTCGCATCATGAGAAGTATACTTGCAATTACAGACTTTACATCTGGCTTTTCAGATCTGCCCCTGTTTTCTTAAAGGATTCAGTGGCTTCTTCCTCAAAATGGGTTACAACTGTGTTCAAAAGGTTCCAGGGTCAGTGTTCTAGGGAACAATAAATCTAATGTTAGGAAACATCCTGAATACAGGCCAGGTCAGGACACAATGGAATAAAGGGAGGGCAGACTTTGAGATGTCAATATTTGGTAATGAGAGAACAAGCTTCACTGTCAAAATTTTCACACTATCCCAATTTTCATTTTCAGCCTAGAAAATGAATGTGTGCCCCGCAAAAAAAGACAATTTTTGTGTAAATTTTAAAAAATGGAGTTGAATTATAGCAATATTTTGCAAAAGAGTAAAGGTGGAAGAAAGCCAAGTATACCAACTCCCTTAGAGAAGCTTCATACTTCATCCAGGGTCATAAAAACACTGAAATCTGAAGATAAACATATAGCCAGCCATGGGAGCCAGATAAATGCAGAAATGAAGCCCCACACTTGTTCCAGTTGGTCCTTATCCAGTGATGAGGCAGGGATACACAATGACTTCAGACTGATTTCTCCTCACAGGTTGAAATTCTCTATCATTCTATGTGAATATTTCTAGAAAGAATATATTATGTGGAGTCATGTGATACTCTTGTTTACAGTTGGTTGACTCAAGAGATAGATAGGACATTTGTAAAGCACACTTTTAAGTGTGTCTTGATGAGTCATGCTAGTGTGACCAAATCTGGCCCTTGGCACCTTCCTTTGAGGCCCTTTCCATACTCTTTCTGGTACCTGGCTCTCATAAATTAGTTACCCTTTATTCTCACTTGTATTTACTATGATGTTTCTCCTTTGGAACAAATCAAACACAGGCTGAAATCTCTGAAACAGTGAGAAAAAACAAAACTATGCTTCTTAAATTTTGTATGCTGACTATTTTCTTCTGTAACATGACCACCATCAACAATAAAAATAGAATATATGTTAGGTGTCTGCTTTAAATAAAGTTCCAAATCTATAAGTTCTTCATTAATAAAACTACTTGAAAGAGGTTTTTCCTCTGTGATTACTCTTCATAGATTTCCTTCATGTGTACATATATAAATTTGACTCCAGTATCTTTTTGCATATCAAAATTACTTTTCCCCCCATAAACTATTCTTTTACATACAGGTAGAACTAAGAATTCCAACAGGTATCTGGCCATGAACTCATGCTTAAAAGAAACCCACTGCTACAGACCTCAGGACTTTTGCACACTGATGGAGGCCTTTATTAACTACTAATTTCACTTGTAGGTGTTGACTCAGAAAAACGTAGGGAAAATAGCCACAATAATGTGAAGATGTATCTGACAATGCTTTCTGGGAAGACACCCTAATAACCCTGAAAGTGCTAACCTAATATTACATCATGACAGTTCCATGTGCATGTACCCTAAAATGCACATATTGTCTCTTTTATTTGGACATTAATTCTCCAGGTGACTACTTTACCTGAATCACAAATACACATTCTTCAGGTCTAATTTAAACATTACTACTTGCAGACACCTCCTCTCAATTTTTTGCACAGTTTTTCAACATTACTGAACACCTATGGACACCTGATTTATATTGCCACACTTTATTCCAAGTTTTCATGCTCAGTGTAAAAGAATTTTTCAGAGTCATGAGAAGCTGAGGACATAGAGAAACTTTATTCATAGTAATTATTGTTTCTCAGCAAGTACAGTACCTCCAAATAAAACAAACATAAAACTCAGTAGTGACAAATGTAAAAACAAAAAAGGATAAGATGAGAGCCTGGGGATTTAGCTCAGTGCCTGCCTGGCAAGTGCAAGGTTGTGAATTTGATTCCTGGTACCAGAAGAAAAAACAAAACAAAAATAACAACAACAAGAAGAAAGGATAAGATGTTGCGAGAAGATGAAAGAAAGGAATGTGAAACAAACCACTTCAATGAAAAGGGTGGTATTTTACATGGAAGTGCTTGAATTCATAAAGGAATGTCCTAGGAAATACTAAAAAAAAATTGATAGAGAAAGCAGTTTGAATCAAATGAATGTGGGTAAGCTGAACATGAAGAGAAGGCATCATTAAATATTGCCTGAAAAATCCAAGCATAAATAAAGAATTTAACATACAAATAAATGAAGTATAAAGAACTCCAAAGGTCCAGGACCAAAATAAAACTATGATAAGACATATAATAATCAAGGCTCCAAAATTTCAGCACAAGAACAGAATATTAAGAGCTGTTGGAGAAAAGAAACCCAACACCTATAAAGGAAAGCCCATCAGAATCATGCCAGACTTCTCAACACAAAGCATCAAGTCAAGAAGAGCTTGGAGTGAAGTATTTTTGTCCTGAAAGAAAACAACTTCCAACCCAGACTGATGTACCCTGCAAAGCTATCCTTCAAAAAAAAGGAGAAATAAGATACTTCCATGACAAAAAACAACTGAAGAAATTTATGACCACCAAACCAATCCTACAATGAGTACTGAAAGGTATTCTAGATAGTGATAAAATTGACCACAATTCCAAGAATAACAAGAGAAAGAAACCACCAGGCAAGGCAAGCAATAAAACAGAGGAGAAAAGTAAGGAGCCAACATCAGGAAAATATCATGACAAAGATAAGCCAAAACATGTCAGTTATAATAATCAAAGTAAATGGCCCCAATTCACCAATCAAAACAAGCAGATTGGCAAAATGGATCACAAAACAAGATTCAACTATATGCTGTATAAAAGAAGCACATTTAACTCAAAAAACAGTTCACTGACTGGAAGTCAAAGGATGGAAAATAGTCTTCCACTCAACAAGAACCAAGAAAAAAGCAGGAGTAGCAATTGCTTTTGCAGACAATGTGAACTTCAAACCAAGAATGATCAAAAGAGATAAAGAAAGTCATGACATACTTGTCAGGGGGAAAACTTCAAGAGGAAGAGATAACAATCACAAATATACATGCACTAGTGAAATTGGAAATTAACGACAAAAGGAACTCCAAAAACTCCATAAACACTTGGAAATTAAATAGCAACTTCCTGAACAACCAATGGGTCACAGAAGAAATTCAAGAGGAAATTAAAAA